AGCGGCTCGTGGATCGCTACAGTACGAGCCGAGCGGCCGAGCCGACGAGCTGCTCGGCTCGATTGCCATCATTAACCATCATTATACACTGAAAAATTATTCTCCAATGATGTCATCACTTCTTTGATTAATTTTGAAGGGGCAAGTATCACTACTAATGTCATCACATCTCCATCCATCAATTGGGACAGAGTAATGATTACTTAAACATATGAAATCATGACCTAAGCCATAGTTACAATCTAAGTGAAATGATGATCTGATATGCCGATCCCAACAACTAATTGGAGCTCTTCAATCAGGGTGGTGATACATATCGAGATTGACAATGTAACTTGATGTGTCGAAGAGCAGCCAACTATTGATAATGGGCCTATAAATAGGGGCGATGGTTCCCCCGCAAAGGACGGTCTAAGTCAATTCATTGTAATAGTCTCTCAAAACAGTTTTCTATAGAAATCACTCCTTTTGCAAATATTCTAGCAATTATCCTGCTAAAACATTCTTGTGGAAAATTTACTTAAATGAATTCAAGAATAAGAACTTTTTGAAATTAGGAGTACTTAACTTCACTGTAATTTTAAAATTTTCTAAACTGAATTGTGTTTTAACTGCATTGAGAGATATTTGTTGATCAAGCTAATGATACATAAAAAATATAGAGGCGAAATAAAACAAAATTATCTTATTTTCATTAAACATTCATCAATCCCTTGTTGTGGAAACTCTGCATATTAACCCTTATGATCAAATAGTTATGGTAGTTCACTATTCAACCTAAGGATTTTCTTTATTCTCACTCTAAGATCAATAGAAAGATATGATCAAACCCAACGTTTCATAACAATCTAAGAAGCTTTAAATTGAGAACAGCTTGTATCAGACAACTGGAGTGAAGGGCTGAATCCGAGCTTCGACGAAGTGACATCGAATTCAAGAAGATAATTCTCAAGTTGATGACCACCTACAGAGATTGATGTTATCGAATCAAGTCCACCATCTACAAATCCAAGGCACAGCACATCATTGTTAACCTTAACCATTGAGTTTGAACCATAGAACCTCCAGTATACACTCTTGCTTTGGAGAACTAGATCAATAGTTGGCACTACAGGCCCTGTCTTGCTATTGGAAATGGTTTTTGAGTCGAAACACGCCCCGAATGGAGCCACTGATGCTACTCTTTTGATGTTCATGACTGTAGCTTCCTTTACAAACTCATTGACTAGAGGCCTGAATATGGATGTATGCAATATAGTATAAGGCCTCACGGTGCGGAGATTTGTACCTCCATTTCCATTTTTGTCAATGGAAAGCAACGTAGTATTCAGTGAAAGAGTCTTATTCCTAACTCTAATAGATTTGACATTGATGAAATACTCGACGGTTAAATTTCCTATCTTCTCATTAGGCCAGGTGGCTACAGGATTTCTGATCAGTGAAGTGCTGATAAGAGACTCTGAAATTTTCTGAAATGGTGCATTGTATGATCCCCCACCAATGATTATGTTTCCATCTCCGGAAGATGGAACACAAAGCGTGAATTTCTGGCTTAACTTGAAACTCGATGCAAGTTGTGCTTGCAATGCAATGTTAGTCCTTCCTAGGCCTATCAGTCCTTGAGTACCTGTAGCGAGGCCTTCCCTGAGAACTGGATCAGAAAATTGGAAAGGGAAATGTGGTGAAACATATTTAGCACCATTCGTCGCATAAACATGCAATGTATCCTCTCCCAAGCCGCTGTATCCTAGCGTGCCCGTGAAGGGATTGTGAGCGTAATCGGAACACGTATTGTTGGTGCATCCAGGCACGGGAGGCGATAAGAAGCAGAAAACACATCCAACACCATTCGCGATTCTACATAGTTTAGTGCCACAACGAATGGGGCGATATGTGGATGCTGCTGCAAAGTATTCGGCGGAATTGAACCAGAGGAATTTGCCTCCAAGATCAATGACTACATCCAGTGAGGTACTATTTGCACCTATCTGAATTGTAGTGTAGTACTGAAGTGATGTGCTATCTTTCTTGATGGGAAAAATAAAGGCTCTAGGCTTCGTTGCTGCATTTGATAGAGAAAGAAGGACAAGAAAAGAGAAAATGGTTATTACTAGAGAAGGGGCCATAGTGATCTATGAGCAATTGTTGGATAATTGGCTTCCATGTAACCTGTATTTATATACATACTTTCCTATTTAAGCACCGTTTGGTAATCATTCTTT